CATTAATAATATAAAAATCAACCAAAAAAACAAAAGGAAACAGCCTCATTTTCCAACTGAGGAGCAGCTAGCTGGTGGGTCCAAAGTCCTAAAAAGCTTTTGGTTGGCAAGAGAATTCTTTAACCACTAAGCCACCATCTCTATAATGTAAGGGTGCTTAAACTCCTCATTGGAATATCATCATTAAAAATGCATCCACTTGGGCTAATAAACAAGTCTGCACTGCAAAGCCCCTTTGAAAGGTAAAACATCAAACTGTCAGTCACTCATATCCTAGAAGGCTCATCAGTGGAATCATGAGAGAGGAAGCACGTCCTTCAATTTCTATTCTGTTCTCTTAAAAAAAGAAATCTTCTCTTTACCTCATATGCTTTTCTCTCTTCAACTCCTGTAGACATCACTTTCAGGGCAACTTTCTTTACTCTGTCAACTACATTAGGAGTTCCTATCTAAATCCTATCAGAACATCCATCTCAATCAATAATCCTAACATCTCTGAAGCATGTAAAATTTGTGAAAATTTACTATTTTTCAATGTAACATAAAATTGCCATTTCCTTTTGACTCCACTTGAATTGTTGGTTGCTATTATCTATCCTCTAAAGCCTGTGTAGATCCTGAATCTCTCAGAGACAGAGCCCAGATGATGGAGCCCACTGTGTGACCCAGCACCCACCCAAGTGATTGCTCCCTTATAGGGATCATCAGTATATTAAATGGGAAAAGGTTCATATATTTGTCAAAATACAGATATAATCTACTGTTGTTAAACTGGTTTTATCTCACAGTAACTCTGCAGGACTGGGTATAATTGTCCCATAAGGTTGTCAAGGCTTAGTGGTAAGGAGTTACAGGGCAAACCCAAAGGCAAGCAGTTCAAATCCATCAGCTGCTCCTCAGAAGTGGACTGTCTCCTGTGTGGTCTGCAGTCTCTGATAATCTGCTGGAAGTTCAGCTACAAGTTGGTTTCAACTTGATGGCACATAACAACAACCTTCAAGAAGCTGACTGCCACAGCTTCCAAGCACTCACTCTGTGCCAGCTGCTGTATGTATGCTTTCTTATTTAACCCTCACTAACCTGTGAGCTGGGGATTGTTATTCTCATTTTCTATATAAGGAAATTGGGACTCAGAGAGATTCATTAACTGGTTCAACTCACTACTTTAGTAGACAGTGGAAGCAAGGGTAGAATCTGGTTGCCTGGACTCATGATTTTTTCATTTCCCTATACTTCCTTCAGCTCCATTCTTGGGGAATAGTATTCTCCTTCTCTCTTGTCCACTTCCATTTTAGAGGCTGTGAAAGTAAATCTTTTCCTTAACTGGATTTTATCTCAGAAGGGAGCTTAATAGATTTAAAAAAAAAAAAAAAGAGTTCAAATGAAAATTCATACTCAAACTCAAACTGGAACTGGCTCATAATTGACTCTCTAAAGGGTTTTCAGAGGCTGCAAATGGCACAGGAGGAGATCATCCATCTTTCTCCTGAGGAGCCCCTGGTGGATTTGAACCATCAGCCATGTATGTATAGCCTTTGGTTAGCAGTGGAACTTTCGTGGCTACTAGAGGGGCTAAATAGGTATGTTTTTGTTGTTATGTATCCTCAAGTCAGAACGGGCCCTTAGCTGACCCTCTGGAGGGTTATCAGGGGCAGTCCATCACATGGGAGGAGACTGCCCATCTTTCTTCCATGAAGCAGCTGGTGGATTTGAACCATGTGCCTTTCAAATTGCAGTGCAGCTTCTTACCACTAGACCGTCAGGGCTCCCTAAGAAGATATAAACATGAAAAGATTTATTTTCTTAATGAGAATTACAGAGAGGTTGGCCATTGATGTGGGCCAAAGCACTGAGGCAGCAACTCTTTACGGACTACACCATTAGAGCTCTCTTAAGGCAACACGTGAGATTCTGCAATTTAAGACATACCCTTGAGCTGAAGTCAAATGAAGTACACAGGTATTAGACAAGGATACTGTAACAACAAATTCAGGGAGTTCTTTCATCATGATCTATGCCTAAATAACAGAATGACTATAACCACCATGGGCTCCTGTATACCAATCATACACAGAGGGTGAGTGAGGATGGTGCATAATAGCACAAGGTTCAGGTTTGTCGTTCCGCGGGTCACTATGAGTCATAGTTGACTTGATGGTACCCAACAACAACAATCCCCATCTTACTTCTTTAAGACCATGGCAAACTCTGTAGATTAATACTAAGGTGGGTTCATGAAATTCATGGGACATTCACTATAGCTTGTAATGTGACTAATATCAATTCAGTGTCTTCATGGACCTTAATGACCTGGAAGGAGCTCAAGATTTAGGTTCGTTGAAATGATAGCATTTGATAATCTTGTGAACAGCTACCTTGACAGAGCCTCCCCAGTTCTGATAGAGGGTTTGAAAGGAAAGTACCTGTTGATTCTGTAGTGTATTCAGTCGAGAATCAAGTTTCTGCTTTTCAACACATAAATCATTCATTTGGTAGAGTTTTTTGGTGTGCTCTTTTGTCTTCATCATCAGTTCCCATCGCATTTGAGCAATCTTTTCCTACCAGGGCAGGAAGATGCAGGACGGATTAAATGGATAAAAGAGGAAAACAAAAAGAAAAACAAGGACCCAGATTTGATAAAAATAATAAAGAGAATGGAGCAAATATGATGATAAACCAGAAGCCAATAGGAAAATGCCAGTAAGCATGGCAATGAGTCAGGTATAATTGAAGATACAATCTAAGTATATTCAAGGATAAAAGTTGGTAAGAATAAGATAGCTAAAGATAGTACTACTCCATTGTGGCAGAATACAGTTACTCTGAGCACTGGATTGTATTACTTAAAAGGAAGGTAGATAATTTAAGCAGCAGACTTTCATACATTATCTTTGTTCTGGTCTTAGCCTAAAGTTCTCAGTGTAGCTGGTTTGAATGGTCAAAATGGTTTTCCTTTGTTCCCTAATTGCTCCAACAAATTATTCTGGATTGCACTGATCATTCCCAACATTTACCTGATAGGGACTGGTCCCAATGACATGGGCATTTCAAATAAGGTGCTTCAACAAAGTGGCAAATTCTCAATTAGCAAGGACGAGAGAGGATCCCTGGGAAAGACAGCACTAGAGTAGCAGCTCCTGTCCTACCAATAGGGAGTTGTGGTGGCCTAGTGCTAAGGAGCTGTGCTGTCTTTCCAAAGGCATGCGGTTCAAATCCACCAGATGTTCCACAGGAGAAAAATGGGCAATTTCCTCCCTTACAATTAGACTCCCTCTGAAAATTCATGGGAAGGTCAGCTATGAGTTGGTTCTGACTTGACAGTATACCACCACAACAACAATCATGCCTCCTAATGAGATAAGAGAGGAAACTGGAGAAGTCATAACAATTTGTGGATTTACTCCATTTCTGTAAAAGAACTGGAATTGGAACACTGCCTTATCTCCTGGTTGGGGAGCCACACATAGGCACTAAAATCTTCTAAGATTCTAGCTACCAAATGGTCTGTGCTGTGCTATGAAATGTATTATTTAGAGACGTTTTCTAATTTCCAGATTCTAACCACATACAAAAGCTATACAATAATATATCTAGGATCTTCAAGGTAAAGTACTTGCATTTCCAATGTGGCATTTATATATTAATGAAGGCTTCAAATTGGAATTTCTCCACAGTCCTTCAGATACTGCTCTCATCATAACTGCACGTATCCTGGACCTGACACTGCATCCACACAAATACAAGTCCCATCACCTTAGTGATGGTAAGGGGGCTGAGACAGTCCTACTGCTACAAAGGAGCCAAATGGCCTCACAGACCCCACTCAAACAGCACAGAAGCTTCCCAGGAACCACTTACACCTCAACGTGATTTCTTCTTCCCACAAATTTGTCCAAGGTGGATCCACGTGCCCCTCATTCTTACCTCCCACATCTTCATTTCCTTTGCGTTTGATAGCTCTTTTTGAATTTTTTTGATCTTTAGTTCTTCAAGGGTTGTATTAACAGAGAGGGTCTGAAGGGCTTCTAGGTCTATCACACGACCAAACTTTCTAATCATTAATCGTTGAACTGTGTCTTCCATTTCTAAAAGGAGAAAGTCACTGTCTTAGGTCGTTTGATGGTCCTCATTGCTTTTTGATAAACATTAACAACAACAGCAAAATTCTAGGGACTATCTTTTGCAAGAGCATGATTATGATTTTATGTTACTAGTTGATTTTTTCTCCATGACTTTTAGCCTGCTGTTTTCCTCACTTAAAAAGCCGTTTCTATACATTTCCCTTTCATCTTCCAAATCTGAGTGAAACTGACTCATCCTTCCCACCTGACTTACATGTTGTAAACTGCCCTGCCTGAAGTTGTGAACAGGCCCGGACTAGATTATTAACTCTTTGGCATTGATTTCTACAGCACCTAGTGTTAAGTAATAAAGAAGATTAACAGTAATCAAAACATCCTGGTTCTAGAATAACAATAGCAAGCAGACTGTTGAGAATAAAATTGAGAGTCTGGAAATAAAGCCATGCATCTACGGTCAATTTTTTTCAATTGTGATTTGAGTGAAAGCTTACCAAATTAATCTTTCAGTAAAAAACCACATTTTGTTCTATAATGTTCTTTTCAATACCCACAAAGTAATTACATTTCCCTCACTTCCTCCTTGTCATTCAGATTTCCATGAGGCTATACCTTTGTCTTCTCTTTCTTTAGTGATATTATGCTGATTGTTCTCTCATTGGGTGCTACCTTTTCTTTCATGCTGGGAAAGGTAAAGGGTCAGTGAAAGAGACAACAACCCTCAATGACACGGACTGATGTGGTGACTGTAACAATGGACTCAGGTATGGCCAAGATGGTGAGGACGGTATAAAATCTGAGAAGGTTCAGATGAGTCGTTCATAGGGTTGCTATGAGTCATGATCAACATGATGGCACCTAACAACGATTATCGATTTACTAATTTTTACTTCTCTTTCCTCCCCTCCTATCCCTAGTATCCAAACAAGGATGATTCTATTTGTATGTAAAACTTTTTAAAATAGTGGACTTATACAATATCTGTCCTTTTGTGACTGACTTATTTAATTTCACATACTGTTCTCTAGATGCATCCATTTTATAGCGTGTTTAAAGTTCTTTTTTTAAATTAATTTAGTTTATTTTTTCATTTCAATGAACATCTACAGAGATTTTGGAATTCCATTCATTCATTGTTGCACCCTTCTCCCCACACAAACCCCTCCCCCCTACCCCCCCTTTGCTCCTCTCCTTGAAAAGCAAAAGCAAAACTCCCTCATTGGTACACAATCCCCCCCGCACCTCCCCAAAC